TATCGCACCAGTCCAGCCTTCTGTCAGTGTTTTACATCCTTCTATATGAATAGTCCTAGGTTTCATGTTTCCCATGTCAGAGCAGTCAGTTTCGCCATTATCCAGCTGCCTTTGGAGGCTTACTTGCATTAGGAGGCTTCCTACCAATCCCTCATTCAGCTGCAACAAACAAAGGCTTTCTGTAAGAGTCCTCCGTCATACAACACAAGCAACAGTAGGAACAGGGTTGTTTTTCTGCTGTTTAGTAGAAAATGACTAAATAAATCAAGTAATACATACAGAATAATCATTATGAAAACAACATTAAAATGAAATATGTTTACATCGTAAAAGATATATAGTATACAGCCTATTGTAAAGTCCCCTTGAGGGAATTAGCTTTGGACTAAAGTGCTGTCACTTAAGCCACCCACACAAAAGATCAATAGAAAGAAAATAGAAATAGAGAATAAGCCACACAACCAGACTCCTATACAAACCAGTCTGACAGCCGCATGCACTCACATATCCTTATTCTTAATATTATTGTTGGAAATATTATTTAGCTTTTCACCAAAACATGTTTTATGTTTATTGCTGTACTAAGTCAAAAGATTTGGCCATAAAATGACTCTTAAATGTTATAATTTAAAGGATTTTACATCTAAATTAGATTTAGAAAGGTTTTATTTATGTTTAACAGCGCTATCTGACAGAACCAGGGTGAAATGTCTCAACTAACCAACACAACTTTCCATCAAGGGAAAAGTTCATTTATAATACACTGCAAAAAAGGTATTTTTTTCTTAAAATAAGTGCATTTTTTCTTGAATTGAAGACTTAAGTGAGACGCTTCGCCAATGGAACAAGACAATTTACATTTGAAATAAGAAAAAAACAATTTTATTGTCTTATTTCAACTGCATATTAACTAATTATCCTATTTTAAGATTAAAAAAAAACATCATTCCATAGGCAAATCATCTCATTTACCTACTCAAATTAAGAGGAGATAAACTCAATTTATTTATTTTTTTTTAACTTATTTCTAGATAGTTTTTGCAGTGTAGAAAGTTATTTGACTTTAGCAAATGCTGACCTTTTGGAAATCTCTAAAATCCATGTTGGCTCCAAATAGTGTTGGGATCTGGTGATTTCTTACAGGCTTAGGAAACCAGTTCATCGATTCTCAGTATAATCAGGACAAACCAGTCTCCCACTGGGATTATTACAGCTGTATCTCCTGCAACATGTTGCTGGCTATAAATGTTAGCAGGTAAGCTGTGTAACAAGTCATTCATCACCAGAAGTCAGGGGACTGAACACCACTTGGAAAAAGGAGCAGCACCTTTTGAGTGTCTTGATGCCCTAAGGAGGAACAGGACCTGCATAAGCAAAGCAGGACATCAGTGGATCTCCAGTAGACAGTAGAGCTGTGATCAAAATTATGTTTATGTGCCATTAAATGGTGAAAGTCCAACTACTGTCATCATCCTGTTGCCACAGAGCATCCTCTTTTCTGTGTTCCATTGATGCAGGCTGCTTTTTGTTTCCTCTAAAATCTAAGCTGCTTCAGAGTCGAGTTAGCTAATTGATATCACCTGTTCTAAAACCGAAAATCCTAAATATCACAAAGCCGAATAATTTGATTTAGGATAAGTGTCTATTAGCTTTAAGTTTATCCAACTTTATAAAAAAGACCCTCAAGAAATGTAGTAGGGGTTTCCTGAACACTAACGCACGCACATGAAGAGCCAAAAATCAACTCTCACCTTAAAAATAGACATCATACGCATTAAATACAACTTCATCAAGACGGAGGAGAAAATTCACCAGAAAGAAAAGTGTTTAGATTTACTCAGCTAACAGTTTAGCTGCCTGTCCTCCACCTCCAGGGAAACTTAATTGCCAGTCACCCTTTTAAAGTCCGTCCACATAACAAGCCGTCCACCATCCTCTATATATCAGGAAAGTCCAGCCTTTCTTCCAGAGTGAATCAAAGGAAAACTCCATTGTTTTTCAGCAATCAAAAAATAGAGCTTGCAGTTTTATGTTTTTTTTTTTTTTTTATGTGCAGCCATTTTCATTGTCGAGGTTCCAAGGTGCCTCTGTTATTGATGGCTTAGAGAAGAATAAAAAACTATCATAAATCAGGAAAGAGATCATTTAGAATAATTGTCATTTTCTTTAGTTTAAGTATCCTCTTCCTGTATGACTGAATAAAGTGACCAATCAATTCCTTTTACTTTTGTTAAACCAGCTTAGCTGCGATCTTGTTTTGTTATTAATTTAGTATAAAATTTTAGAGTAGAAGCCATTAAAAATTAGGGGTGCGGGAAAAAAATCGTTTTCGTGATATATCCTGATTTTTCGGCTGCCCAATAAATATCAATTTTTTTGTTCCTAGTATCGATTTCAAAAACAAAACATTTTACCTAAAAAAAAAAAATCTGTAACAACATGGATACCAAAATAACTAAATAATTCAATATCTAACTAATAAATAAATGTCCTCTGATGTACGTATACAGCACTTGCTGTTTTGTCTATACATGTAATTTTGATAGATAGAAAAAAATATAATATATAGTGATATTGCAATATGGTGATGATATCGTATTATTCATTGACATTTATCGCATCAACCATGCCAATACTCACCCTTATTCAAAATGGCCCTTGCCAGTCAAACACCAGCCGAATGGCAGCGCACTTTCCTGCAGCTTCCAGCAAAATCCCCTCCAAATTCCAGCCACTGGCCTTCTCTCGGGTGTGCACTTTTTTCTACTCTGACTCTATCGTTTTACTAAATTACAGAAAATTATGCTTCTTTTTAGATTTTAATGTTCGCAATTCTTGACAGAATATTTTAGTACAAAGATTGATGTTTAAAAAGGAATTGTAGGGGACCAGTCAAGGACCAGCCGGGGACCCATTAAGGAAACTGGGAAAATTTTAAATGGCTACCACTGTATAATGTCTTCCTATAGCTCAAATCATTTTTTTAAACAGCCAAAACATTTTTTCGTTTAACATAATTCAACTCAGTTTATTTCTATAGCGCCAAATTCACAACACACGTCATCTCAGGTCACTTTACAGTTCAACCAGATCATCCAGTCAAATTGATTCAAAGTTTTCTATCTAAGGAAAACCAGCTGATTGCATCGACTCATTGACTCAAATACAATCCCTCACACTAAGCATGCTTGTAGCGACAGTGGAGAGGAAAAACTCCCTTTGAACAGGAAGAAACCTCCAGCAGAACCAGGCTCAGTGTGAGCGGCCATCTGCTGAGGCCCACTGGGGTTCAAGGAGACAGAAGCAGACATAGAAAAAGAAGCATAGATACAAAAAGCAGTTGTAAAAGGCGGCCCCGTCCAGGAAACACACAGCCAGGCAGACGAGCTCCGAGCCAGCTCCCATGTCAGAGGATGAAGAGAGCACATCCAGTTAGTCACAGTCAGAGAAACAGGACCACACTGGAAAACAGGCCAAGCTCCAGCATCTAGGAACAAAGGTGTTGATGGAAGCAGCACAGCTGATGTTTCTATATAACATAAAACTGATCTCCTACACACTCACCCTTTGTTTTGGCATTACCAGTCAAAATGTCTCCATATTTCCTGAGCTGTTGTCCCACTCTTATTTCCTCATGCTCTATTAAAGGTACAAACACATTAGGGTTGAACTCCTAATAGCCTGTGTGATAGATGCCTGAGAATAATGAGCCCTTTATGAGACTTAATACCTCCTGTTAATCAATGGACATAGTTGGGCATTTTTCAATACTAGCATTTTAAAAGGAACCCTCGTAGAATAGATCGACTCACATTCTATAACCTCTGACTTTCTTTTTCTCTCGTCTTGTTCCTCTTCTATTGGTATATATGTAATTAGCTGCATAATGTATTCAAAATCAACTGATGACGGTTCTTCAAAAATGCCCTTTTCCTGCTCTGATATTGGTAAGTGCTGTCCAGACTAAGAGCTGCAGTGATGGAAACACAATGCTAAGCTTTAATGCAGTGGGCGGACCAGACTATCCTTGGCCTCCAGTGATAGAACCATGAATGACCTATTTATTGCTGTGAATATCAAATCCCGGCTGCTGCAGCTGCTGGAAGTGTCTCTGTTAATTTCTGCGAGTTCTAGTTCTGTTGTTCTTTGAACTTTAGCTCTCCAGTGTATTGCATTGCTTAACGGATATCGTGCTTTATTAGCATGATGTTTATTTATAGTCTACATTAATAAATGTTAAGATTTTAGAAATGAAATTGGTGTTGGAATGAAAAAAATAAAAAAAAATGGCTGTAATCTTAATAGTTGTCATTAAATTGGCTGCAGAAAGTTCAGGTGCGCCTTTTTTTTCGCCCCAGATCTCCAAATGTGAGTGCTTATCGTGCTCATTCTGGGTATCTTGCGTAGTTTTTGTATGAGCGTATGCATTTGGGTGTGTTTGATTATCGCTTACAGGCTCTAAGGGAGCCTGATCCATTCTCACTCTGATAATGAGGGAGAGACTTTCAATGCCCTTAAGTCATTTCTCCTCCCCTTCCATCCTGCAGTTTTTTTTTTCTTTGCATTTTCCCCGTTACCTTCCTCTAATCCAGATTATCAGGTTTTTTTTGCTTATTCATTGTCTTGTTTTGAATTCATGCATGGCTGCCTTCAGCTCAGGTTGGTCTGGACCGCGTTGGAGTTAAGTCTCTGTTTTTTTGTGGGATAGATTTGTTTGCCGGATGACTATTTTTCATGGCGGTCGATGGTCGAGTATCTCTGTGGACCACGATGCTGGCAGCTCGGTTTCTCCCCACAATAGCCTTACTTATTCTACATCAATACTCCAATGTGTTGTATATTTGCTGGTTTCTCAAATGTCCAGCTCCTTCTTACCAAACTCTCCTTGTATGGTCCATAAGGAGTGTTTGATGGGAGTGAGTTGGAGCAGAACTTCTGTTCATTTGATTCTAACTTTGCTCTCCTCTTCACTCCCCACCTTCCCCTCTCTTGTGTTTCAGGTGACCGAAGCCGTAGCGGATTCTCCAGAAAGCCTCTCCAGCGCTCTTCCTTTAAACCTTCTCCTCCTTTTTTGCACCGTTTGTTTAAAAAGATCAGCATCCTTAAGAGAATTTGGACATGGATCTAAAGGACCATAAGAACCGCTCTCTGACCGCTAGCCGTTGTTCTAAGGAGTCCCAGTTCAACACGTCCTCACTGGATGCAGATGAGCGCCGGGTTCCCACACAGAAATCCTACAGCTCCAGTGAGACTCTGAAGGCCTTCGATCATGAGCAGAGGCTTCACTACGGCGGCTGCATTACAGACTTGGTGCACCACGAGGCTGATGAGTACTCCAGGCAAGGTGAGTCTGTGCAGCAGGTAGATTACTATATTTATGAAGTATAACCCATTTATCAATCAGTCATTCAATAGACCCCATTTGTCTGGTCTCAATGTAGGTGTAAGTATATTTTAATGAATAGCAATTTGTTTAAAAAAACAATTCATGGGATTAATTGATTATTGAAATTTACTAATTGATTAATAGCTGGAGCATAGACACATTGAGACGTACCTTGAGCTGACAGAGAAACACACTTAAAGCAGTAACTGTATGAAAATAGTAAAAAAATATTTTAACATTTTGCATTAAAGATTTGAAAAAAAAAAAAAAGGTTTTCATCTGTCAATCTGCTCTATCCAGAACTCCTCAGGTGGAAATGTTTTATTTTCACCTGGTTTGATTCTGAATCTTTGGCTATTCGATTACTAATCGATTAGCAAAATAATTGGTGGATGCAGCCCTTAAAAAAAAAACAAAAAAAAACATTATGAGCATTTTTTTATTTTTTTTTGGGGGTCAATTATTATTATTTTTATTTATTTATTTTTTTTTTACAGTGTCCTGTCTGGCAATGTGGCAATAAGAATAATTGTCTTGATGCCAATAAGAGCCCAACAGATTTTACTTTCACAAGTGGAGCAGTACGGTGTTCCGCTTGTTTCATGCATATAAATTGCTTTATTATAATTAAGCAGGGAGTTTTACAGTGTATATGGACACTGCAATGTAAGTAGAGCAGAAAAACAGAAGAAGAAAAAGAAAAAAAAAGAGAAAGGATGAAAGAAAGAAGAGATAGAAAGAAGACAATGACAAAACATTTTCAGTCAATTAATTATTTTTGATTCTAATTAATTAAACTGAACAGAAACTATATTTTTCACAATACTTCAATACGATCAGATTTGTCATTCTGCCTCTAAATTATGACATGTTTATCGGAATTAATAAAATCAAATTTTACCTGTCTAAATGGAAAAATAAAGATAAACCACATTTTATAAAACACAAAGTATTGCATGTGTATAGTTTTCCCATCCTTTTAATTTATGTGTTTATTGAGTTAAAGGTCTTAAAACATGTTTTAGCAAGAACTAAGATTTTTGATGACATGAGTATGAAGGTTTAGTTCTTTATGAGTATCATCAGTGGTCAAATAATTATTAAGTGAATGCATGTTGAATGGCGGCCATATCAAATTGAGGAAACCTTCATCAGCATAGACAGAGCACCTGCATAGCTGAAGGTAAAATACTGCAGTGTTGGGTTGTTGCTGCAACATTTGCAAAGCACTGAGTTAAATTTTGGCATTTCTGAGGTGTAACGCTCGATCATTGCCACTGAATGTTTAACGTCTCTAAAATATCTCTGTTTGTTGCTTTTATTTTGAAATCAGTTAACGTATTTTGTGTTTCTAGGTGTGTATAGTATAAAAGTAGTACTCAAGCAGTCTGTAGAGATTATGCATCATTTATACAAAGCAAACCAGGCAAAGATCAAGCCGCTGTCACACCTTGACGATTTAGACCAGCGTCTGCCTGACGTACAAAAAATCTGTCAAAAATGCTGCCATATGTTGGATAAGTTATGGGTACGTTCTGTATAAGTGATAAGTACGCTGAAACACGCTAGCACATGTCGACATACGGCGAGTTCCAGGTCAGTTATCTGATGGCATCTGTTCAGTGTCAGTTCCTCATCAGTCGTGGCGTCTAGCTGATCTTAAACCTCTGAGTAAC